GTGTCGACTGGGCGCTCGTCCCTAAGGACCCCGTGGCGGACTCGCCCCTGGAGTGGACCAGCCAGGGCCGCTGGTCTCGGCTTCGCCTCGCGGGAACCCGGGCGGCCGCGGACTCCTTCGACCTGGGCGGCCTCACCTTCGACCCCGCCGTGGCTCGGGGGCAGGTGCCGCCGGGCACAGGCAGTTCGCCCCCTGGCACTACCATCGTCAAGCCATGCTCCAGGACGCCCAGGGCGTCCTTCACCTCCCGACGCCGGAGATCAAGGAGCAGCTTCACGACGTCCCCAAGGGCTACACCGCCAAAGGGGGGGGCGGACGCCAAGGCCAGGCATCGCATGCTTGGCAACGGCTGGCACTGGGGCGTCGCCGGTCGCCTTCTCGCCATCGTCATCTGGGCTTCCTGGCAGCAGCCAGCTCGTGGCGAGCCTTGGGTTCCCAGGACGCCGGGGGGGTCGACTATACAGTGGCTTCTGGACCATTGGTGCGCCCACGGCTGGGACTTCGCCCCGCCTCCCCTGCCCGATCCTCCCTTTCTGGGCGACGGCCTATCTGAGGAGGAGCACTGGGCGGCGGCGCCTCACTTTCGACACTCTCTGACTTCACCGCCGACCCTCGAGCCGGCCCTGGAGGGCGTGCTCCAATTCCGCGCCCACTGGCGCCACGACATGGTGCGCATTCGCCGTCTGGTGGTCCAGGAGTTGGAGGTCTTGGTGCACGACGCCCAGGAATCCACGGCATCCTGGCTCGCGGCTCGGCCCCACCACGTCCGGGCGACCTATTGCACAGCGGACCGCCCTCGCCCTTTTCAGGGCCCCGTCCTCCTGGATCTACTCCAGAGGGCGAACTACCCGGCGGTCCAAGACCTGAGGGCCGACCTCGAGGACGGCTTCGACATGCTGGGTGAGGTCCGTCGGGCGCCTGGCTGGAAGAGCAGGGAGGACGGGCGGTACTCCAACCCCGCTCCCATGGATCGCCTTCGCCGGGAAAACCCGTCCTATGTGGCGGCCAAGACGCGCCGACCACAGGACTCGGAGCACACCCGGGCCCTCAGGGATGAGCTCGTCAAGGAGGCTCGGCTGGGGCGCGTCATGGGCCCGTGTCGAGCGCCGGATGGATGGGGCGTTACCATGGCGTCCTTGCCGGAGGTGGCCGGTATGGATCGCCTACTCGAACCGCCGCGGGGCGACTGCTTCGCCGCGCTCTCCTTCGCCATCACCCAGCTCGACGAGAACGGGGACCTCAAGCTGCGTCGAGGCGAAGACTGGCGACGGTCCGGACACAACGCCACCATGCGGGCGCACGACGTCCCGACGCACCACTTCCTCGGGGACATCGTGGACATCATCCGCCGTGCGATGGCTTCGGGATGGGACCCGGTGCTCTTCGGGCACGACCTGCAGAACGCCTACCGCCAGTGGGCGGTCAAGTTCCCGGGTCACTGCGGGACGTTCCTCCCGACGGCCGCCGGAACCACCCTTTGGTTCCATTTTGCTATGTGCTTCGGCGCGGCGGCGAGCGTCTGGAATTTCAACAGGGCGGCTGACGCCGTCCAGATGCTAGCTCGGGCGTTGCTCGCGGTCCTCTTCGGCCATTTCGTCGACGACTTTAACGGCGTCGAGGACAAGGCGGAGGCCGACTCCGCCCACTTCGCCCTGGCCGACTTCTTCGCCCTTCTGGGCCTCCAGACCAAGCCGTCCAAGGCCCAACCGCCAGCCCAGGAGCATGTTGTCCAGGGCGTTTCCGTGCGGGTGGCTGACGCGGGCGTCGAGCTGCGGCCCACCGCCGACCGCACACAGAAGATCCTCAAGCAGATCGACAACGCCCTGGAGACGGGGGCCATGAAACCAGACGTGGCGTCCAGGCTGGCCGGGCGACTCACCTTTTTCAGCCAGTCGGTTTTCGGCTGCACCGGCCGGGCGGCCATCAAGCCGCTCTACGCCAGGGCGGCCGACACGGCGGCCCACTCCGACGACGCACTCTCGGTGGGGCTCCGCTCCGCCCTCCTGGCCCTCCGACGCCTGGTGGCTACGGCCAAACCGCGCCTCATACCTTGGCCGGGGGCGGTTACGGGACCAGTCCCCGTCATCTACGCGGACGCCTTCTTCCTGGAGGGCGACTTACGCAAGAAGGTGGGCCACCTCCATCCGGGGGAGCAGGTCCCCCGCTCAGCCAGATGGGAGAACGGCTGGGGCTTTGTGCTCCTCTTCGAGGGCCAGGTGTTCTACGACTTCGGCGTCGTCAAGCCCGAGTACCTCAAGCCCTTCGCGTCCCGCCGGGCTTTCATCTACGTGTTGGAGATCTTGGCGCAGGTGCTCCCCGTCATCACCTTCGCCCGGAGGCTGCCTCAACATTGGATCGCCTTCATCGACAATGTCGCGGGGCAGTTCGCCCTCATGAAAGGATATGGGCGGGACCCGGCCGTGAACGGCATCCTCGCCTCTTTCTGGGGCTTGGCGGCCGATCGGGCTTGGTGCCCCGAGTTCTACAGGGTCCCCTCCGCCGCCAACGTTTCTGACGCCGTCTCTCGGGGCGACGACTCGAGAGCGGCCCGGGAAGGTTGGTGCCGCGTTCGGGCACCGGTCGACGACGTCATGGTGATCCTCGGGCGGGCGGCGGCCGACATCGACTACGCCTGCCACGAGGCTCCTGAGAGGCTGCTGGACCTTGCTTCTTGGTAGTTAGTGCCGGCACCTTGTGGGGGTGGGTGCGCCGGGCGGACGCAGAAGTGCGTACCCCGGCACCGGCACCGGTTTTCGGGGCGGTGTGCTCGGCCGGGCGCATTACATGCGACTCGACCATCCAAAAGGAGCCACTGCACCCTAAGTAGGATTTTGGGCTAACTCGTTAGCGCAGCGCTTGTTGTGTAGCGCACGCGTGCGAGTAGGAACAAGTGCTAGCGATCGAACCGCAGCTTGCCGGTTCGATCGCCTTTTCTGAGTTCCCGCCCACTCCACCCTTTGTGATTTTCTTGACTTATATACGGCCGTCACCCGCCCCACCGGGCGGTTGTCCGGGGGTGGACGCAGAAGTGCGCACCCCGGCACCGGCACCGGTTTTCGGGGCGGTGTGCTCGGCCGGGCGCATTACATGCGACTCGACCATCCAAAAGGAGCCACTGCACCCTAAGTAGGATTTTGGGCTAACTCGTTAGCGCAGCGCTTGTTCAGCGGGAACGTAGCAGAAGGAGGGCCAAAATCCGGGCCAATCGGCTGATCGCCAAAGTGGCCACGGAGATGAACATCAGGGCAATTCTTACGAACCTCTTCCAAAAGGTTTCTGGAAAGGCGCTGGGATATGGCTTGGGGGACCGTTATGGCTGTTCTTCGTTAAGCTGGCCATGCTGCAACACGGCATGTGGGCTTTGACAGAACAGGAGTGCCTTCTCTTAAGTTCGAAGATAGGCGTGACCATCTCAAACTCGCCTGCCTTTGTCGCGTGCCAGGACGTGTCGCAACAGGCAAATTGGAGACCCCCGTTTACCTAACTCATTGGAGATGCACCTCTGTGGACCCAGTGCATTCTTGCCAGCCGGCGCATCTTTGTTGTGTCTTGAATTGCAAAAGCACTCCGACCGCGCCGTTGCATTCATATCCGACCGCAAAGATTTTGTGACCAGGCCCGTGTCTCCCGGTCCGATTCCTCGACAGATCCCGGCGAAGAGTTCTCTGCCGCGGGAGTGCCTTGACTCAGCCGCGATCCTTGCTGCTCGCTTTCGCCATTTTCTTTCCAGGAGACCATCTCATCTCGGAGAAGACATCGCATGTGAGTGTCATTGGCAGTTGTTGCATCACTCTGGCCCTCAACTTGACCCGCTCCCTTGAAGGTTTTTTTGTTGTGACGTCAGAGCGGCTTTTGTGGAGACCATTCGTCTTGGACGCCCTGACCGGGAACCACCTGGCATGGAAAGTTTGCTCGCAAACAACTTGCATATGACGGCGGCTGGTCGTGTTGACAGGGTCGTCCCTCGGCACATAAACACATCCGGGTTGGGAGCCATTGAGATCCTTGCGGGGCCTTGCCTTCACACATCCAGGCAGCCGCTTCACGGTCTCGGTCGACGTTCCTGTGGCTCCTCTGCCAAAGAGGACGGCCGACTTCCTTTGCACTGCAGGCCCAGCCTTCGCAGTGCCATAGCCCACCAAATAGCTTTCGACTTGTACCCAGCCTTTTCTTTTGCGCCAACTCGATTGAATGTTGCTCACGATCCCACTCGTCGGGTTCCTCTGCCGAGCCGGGTTTCCGTTCACAGCGCTTCAAAACATTTGCCGTGTTGGGCCGCGTCGGCCTATCGTTTCTTGGGCTCGACGCTTCCTTGTCTTGAGTTTTCCCTCAGCGGCCGTTTCGCTCGGCTTGGCCACCTCTTTGCCGCGCTTGGCTCGCCCGTTTCTCCTCTGAGGACCCTTCTTGTGTTGTTCTTGGCCAACTTGTGGCTTTCTGGGGCCCGAAAATCCTCTGGTGGACTTTTCTCCGGTGCACTACCTTCGGTTTGAGCGACACTGAAAGGGCAAGCCGCCGTGCTGGGTTTTTATTGCAGGCTGACAGGGTTGTAACGACTTGTCACACAAAGCAATCGCGAGAAGCTTGCAACTTCACCAAAGAATCGAGGTCGGGCTGCTAGCCATCAGGCCGCCTGCATCAATCCTGGCGATGTTTTGGAGCAGTGCAGGGAGGAGACCTTTCCCTTTTCCCATGTTCTCTTACCACTTTTTGGGCAACTTGCTCGTGGCCCTGGAAAGCTCTCGCCAACACACGGCTTGCCCACTCTTAGTAATGCCTTGTCAATAATGAATAGAGGCTGTTGAGCCATCGACAAGCGTAGCTGCATGTATTGTATGACGTGGCCGCAGCCCAGCGCGACCTGACAGTAAGTGGCGAGCAACGGCCCGGCCGATGGCGCTTTTTTGTGGGATGAATGGAAGTGGTGAAGAAGAAGAAGACGAAGTGGCAACAACAGGTTTTGGAATTGTGTCATTGTTGCATACTGTGGCTAAACTTGCGAGGACATGGTCACTTACAGCACAGCAGCCCGGCCGCAATGCAAGCAAATACCTCCATGTTGCCTCGAGCTCGAAGGTGCGCGGCCAGGCCCGAAGGAATCCGAAGAAGTTTGAAATTTCCAAAGCTTTACAGCATTCTGAGAAGAGAATAGTACATCGTAACATCAACACAGAAGTTGCACGGTCTCATCTGTGGGCAGTGCATTAGCTGATTAGCTAGATTCAGTTGGATCATCCAAGGCCATCAGCGCCTGTGAGAAGGCCGCGAGGTGGCAGCATGCAGCGGTGCTGTTGCAAGAAATGCTGGCCAGCCGCGTCGAGGCCAACGTGGTGTGTCGCTTGCCTGGCACGGGTCATAATGTCATAATCCGTCGAATTTCTGAGCGATGCCAAGGTTACAACGCAGCCATCAGCGCATTCGGTGCAGGAGGCCGCTGGGAGCTATCACTCCAGCATTGCCGCGAGCTGCTGGCCGCATCACTGTTCCCTGGCCTGAACTTGTGATGCTCCTTGTAGCTGCAAGATTCCACCTTGTGCTCAAGGCCTGACCAGGTGAGCTGCGGTGCCGTGATGGATGCAGCTGCCAAGGGAGGTCGCTGGGATTGGACCCTCACTGTTCTCTCATCGATGGGAAGGTGGAGGCTTGCACCAGACATCTTCAACTACAACATTGCCATTTCAGAGGCATCCCACTGGGAGCAGTCACTGCAGCTGCAAGGATGCCGCGAGTCAGGGAGAGCACCGAACAGGATAACCTACTCCAATGCGCTGACAACTCTCGCAGCGTATGGGTGTTGGAAGTTCGCCCTCTGCATGAGCCGGCGCAGCTCGGTAGAGAGTTCAATTTATTCGGAAGATCGCTTCTGCACGTCTGCCAGCCGAGGCATGCAGGCCGACCGCTGCCACAGCGATGCTAGGTTGAGTCTGGCCTCCCCCTTGCTCAAAGCTTCGAGCTTCGTGCTCTGCCGTCCGAGGAGATTGCGTACGGTGCAGCACTCAATGCCTGCGAGAAAGGCCTTCAATGGCGAGCTTCGTTGATGATGCTGCGATGCTCTGCGCAAACTTGTTGACTCACCGACGCACCATGTCCACGCCGCGCATTCGCAGTGCGTAGTGGTTTGCTTATGCTTCAGGATGGATAGCGCAGCAAGGCATGGAGACGAACGAGATCTGCTACAGGGCAGCCATGGGCCCAGCTGACGGTACGCAACGAGACTCCAACAGTCACTAGCGGTTCAATCGGTCGTGCCGAGGTCATCAGCGCATCGGAGAACGAAGACCAGCAGCTTCCCTGAAAGGAGTCAGCCTCAGCCTAGCTGTGCTTGATCTTTCCCTTCTTGGGAAAGGTGGCCTGTGGCACTCCTTCTGTTGCTGGATCCTTCGACTCCAGCCGGTGGAGCTGTGAGCTCTGTCGGCTTCTCGGGCAGCGCACTCTCCGCTTCGGAGGCGGTGCAAGCATCCTGGAGGCCGGAAGCGCAGTGTGAAATGCACCGCGACACTCTGCGACGATGTTCTTCAGGTCGAGCCGGATCCAACGACACGGCGGCGAGCTGCGGATTCTTCCTGAGCTCTCCGAGGACCAGCTCCAGCGCCTCAGCCTGCAGGAGCCTTGGGCCTTGGCCGTCGCTTCGGGTCTCGCACGCTTCGACGTTTCGGCCCCGCTTGACCCCCCCGTGGCTCTGCCTGGGGAGGAGCTCAGCATCCTTGCATGGTCGATGGCCTCCTCGGGAGACATGCGGCGCGCCTGGCATGCCTTGCTCCGAGAGGTCCAAGCTCGGCTGCAGAGCGGAGAGGACACAGCACAGCATCTCTTCATGTCGGAGATCTCTTATAAGCAAGAAGCGCAGGGTCGCGGGCAGGGTGGAGAGGTGTAAGGAGTGAGAAGAAATGAGGGAGCCGAGAGGAGCGGCGGCTGCCGCTGCGGGCGCTGGCGACCTTGTCCTGGTCTTTTGCCTCGGCGCCGTTGAGCTCGCAAGCCTCGCTTTGCGAGGTTCTCCCTGTGTTGCAAAGGGAGCTTGCCAGCCGGGTGACCGTCCTCAAAGGCAGAGAGGCAATCAGCTCCAGCACCGACATGTTGGAAGTGCTTTGGGCCTCAAGCTTCGTGGGCTGCCTACAGCCACGCTACCTCCCCGCTGTTTGGAATGCCCTCCAGCGTGTGGCACGCGCCCTTGATAGCACAGCCCACTTGCCCCCGCCGGCCTCGACATCACCTGGACGCCTTGACCCACTGGCTCCGGAGCTGCAGTTGCCTCGAGTCGTTCTTCAACTTCCGGACCGATGCTTGGCAGCAAGCTGTCGCAGGTCGTCCTGTGCTTCGCTGTCTTGGAACGGGGAATCTGAGGGCTGGTGGTGCACAAACCACCTGGATGGCAGGCGTGCGATGCGCGCGTTGTGAGTGCCTTGCTTGATGCTGCCGAAGCCATTCACCTTGAAGTCGAGGTCGATGAGTCTGGGGATGCTTCCGGTCTGCCCCTTTCCCAGTATGTACAGAAGCTCTGCAACAAGCCGATTCACTACGACGAGTCCCACCAGAGAGGCTTCCTGCATCGTTTGGATGTGCCAAGCTCCGGGATGATCCTCGTCGCCTCCACTTTCTCCGCTTACTACGATCTTCAGTTTCAACTATCCGCGGGCATGTTGATCCGGGACTATGCTGTTCAGTCACACGGCTGGTGCGGTGACCGTGGGATGATTCGCGCTTCAGTTGCCTGGGCTGATACCGGTTCCCGAAAGGACTCCCCAAGTCGTGTGATTGCCGGCGAGAACTCCGAGACACACCTCAAGGTCTTACTGCACTCGATACACATGGGACGTGCGCTCTCCTTCATGGCTATACGGATTGGAACCGGGCGAAAACATCAGATCCGAGTTCACACCGCTCATGTGGGTCACGCGACTGTCAGCGATGGTGGCTCAGATGCATTCGGCAGCCCGCGTTCGAAACAGCAGCACTGCTTCTCGGCAAGGTCTGTACTCCACAGCCGAGACCTACTCTGGTGATCAGGATTGTTGCCAGCGGATATTTTTGCACCGGTGCGTCCAGGCGATCGGCTGTGGAGGCATATGCATGTGCAGATGTGGCAGGTACCATCTCGCCTTCTGCTCGCAAGCCTTGCACGGAGAAGAGTTCGAGGTGGGCTTCTGAGCAGTGAGCTCGACCTGCGCTAGGAGTGGCGACTTTCCCTTTGCAAGTCTGTTCCGAGGCCCGTGACGCACTACCGCCGGATCTGCAGGACTGTCTTCAGGCGGCACAGGCGTGAGCTCCTTTGGCACGTTGCTTGTATCGCCGACGGAGAATGCACAGCGAAGGTGGTGCGGTCTTGCCCCCAAAGGGTAGCAAGGCAGGGGAAGGGGAAGGGGAAGGGGAAGAGCAAGGGCAGAGACAGGAGGGAAGGGAGGGGAAGTGAGGTCAGCGCCATTCGCCTCCCTGCCACCCTGGCACTTGTGCTCGCAGCTGACCAGGAAAAGAAGAGTGACAGGGTAGCAGAAGCCTCTTGTGCTCAGATCTTCCATGCACTGCTTGGTCTCAAGACAGTCGGCTCGAGTCTTTGCATGCCACTTCCAGCTGGGGGGCATGCCCTGTGCTGACGCAATGTGCGGAAGCTCGTGTGACGATTGTGCCACGCGTCTGCAGCGGCCGCCTGGCTAGCAACGCGGAGGCCGAGTTCCTTCAATAAACAAATCAGAACAATGAGGCCCTGACAGCTCTGAAGCTCTCGCGAACCCAGTTCGTGTCCAGCCACCTGGTTTGTCGAGATGTCCGCTGACGTGCGAAAATACAGTTGCAGACTGGACGCCGGAGACCATCCCCGTGCCATAACTGTGGCACTGAAGAATCTGGCTGGGTGTGGAGCAGACCTATCAGACGTGCTGCTTTCTATGCGCACAGCGACCATCGAAGCCAATGTCTACCACTACAACACCGCCATCTCGACGTGCCAGGGGCCTCTGTGGCAGTCTGCATTGCACTTGCTGCTCCGAATGTCGCTGCACCTTGTCCCTGCTGATGCCGTCAGCCAGAATGCCGCAATGGCAGCGGTGGGGCCTCTGTGGCAGCGGAGTGCCAACTTGTTCAGGGACAGCGACAAAGAAGGAGTTGCGTTCAACAGCATGCTGTCTTCCTTGAGCAAGGTGGGCAACTGGGAGCTGGGACAGAGTGCCTTGAAGGAAATGCGCTGCAGTCTCGTGCAAGCAGACCATATCAGTTTCACCGCCTGCCTTGATGCCAGCGGCCGAGCAGACCAGTGGAGAAGGTCATGGTTCCTGCTGAAAGAATTGCAGACTTCGCTCCGTGCGGACGTGGTAGCCTGGAACTGTGCCATCTCCAGTGGACGGGCCTGGCAAAGAGCGTTGGAAGTAGTAGCAGCCATACCATGGCATGCACTGCAACCAGACACAGTCAGCTACGATTCCGCCATCAGCAGATGCACCGGCAAGTGGCAGCACGCCTCAAGCCTGATGGGCTCATCGGGCCTCCGTGCTTCGCTTGTCACCTACCATGCGGCCATGACTGCCTTCGAGGCCCCTGGCTGGTGCTTTGCCCTCAATTTTCTTCAAGGCATCGGAAGTGAACGACTGCTGCCGGAGGTTCTGACGTACAACTCTGCTGCCGCTGCCTGTCAAAAGGCACTCCGATGGCTCCAGGCATCGGGAGTGTTGAGGAGCATGTCCGTCTCAGGACTGCAGGGCGACTCTTATACTTGCAGTGCTGTTCTCGGTGCCTGTCGAGACTCTTGGGCACTGGCCGTTGAACTAGTTTCCGGCATGTGCCGGAGCGATCTCCCTCCCAACGCAATCGTATTCAATGCGTTGGCCAGTGCTTGCGGCCTGGCAGGTCAATGGCAGCTTGCCCTGCGATCCTTGGATGCTGTGGGCGACTGCTTTACCTATGCTGCAGCCATCAGCGCGTGCGAGAAGGCACATGAATGGCAGCGGGCGCTTTGGCTCCTATACCAGATGCCGGGAGTGTGCCTCAAGGCGGATGCCGTCTGCTTCGCGGCCGCCATCAGCGCCTGTGAGAAGGCCGCGAGGTGGCAGCATGCAGCGGTGCTGTTGCAAGAAATGCTGGCCAGCCGCGTCGAGGCCAACGTGGTGTGTCGCTTGCCTGGCACGGGTCATAATGTCATAATCCGTCGAATTTCTGAGCGATGCCAAGGTTACAACGCAGCCATCAGCGCATTCGGTGCAGGAGGCCGCTGGGAGCTATCACTCCAGCATTGCCGCGAGCTGCTGGCCGCATCACTGTTCCCTGGCCTGAACTTGTGATGCTCCTTGTAGCTGCAAGATTCCACCTTGTGCTCAAGGCCTGACCAGGTGAGCTGCGGTGCCGTGATGGATGCAGCTGCCAAGGGAGGTCGCTGGGATTGGACCCTCACTGTTCTCTCATCCATGGGAAGGTGGAGGCTTGCACCAGACATCTTCAACTACAACATTGCCATTTCAGAGGCATCCCACTGGGAGCAGTCACTGCAGCTGCAAGGATGCCGCGAGTCAGGGAGAGCACCGAACAGGATAACCTACTCCAATGCGCTGACAACTCTCGCAGCGTATGGGTGTTGGAAGTTCGCCCTCTGCATGAGCCGGCGCAGCTCGGTAGAGAGTTCAATTTAATCGGAAGATCGCTTCTGCACGTCTGCCAGCCGAGGCATGCTGGCCGACCGCTGCCACAGCGATGCTTGGTTGAGTCTGGCCTCTCCCTTGCTCAAAGCTTCGAGCTTCGTGCTCTGCCGTCCGAGGAGATTGCGTACGGTGCAGCACTCAATGCCTGCGAGAAAGGCCTTCAATGGCGAGCTTCGTTGATGATGCTGCGATGCTCTTCGCAAACTTGTTGACTCACCGACGCACCATGTCCACGCCGCGCATTCGCAGTGCGTAGTGGTTTGCTTATGCTTCAGGATGGATAGCGCAGCAAGGCATGGAGACGAACGAGATCTGCTACAGGGCAGCCATGGGCCCAGCTGACGGTACGCAACGAGACTCCAACAGTCACTAGCGGTTCAATCGGTCGTGCCGAGGTCATCAGCGCATCGGAGAACGAAGACCAGCAGCTTCCCTGAAAGGAGTCAGCCTCAGCCTAGCTGTGCTTGATCTTTCCCTTCTTGGGAAAGGTGGCCTGTGGCACTCCTTCTGTTGCTGGATCCTTCGACTCCAGCCGGTGGAGCTGTGAGCTCTGTCGGCTTCTCGGGCAGCGCACTCTCCGCTTCGGAGGCGGTGCAAGCATCCTGGAGGCCGGAAGCGCAGTGTGAAATGCACCGCGACACTCTGCGACGATGTTCTTCAGGTCGAGCCGGATCCAACGACACGGCGGCGAGCTGCGGATTCTTCCTGAGCTCTCCGAGGACCAGCTCCAGCGCCTCAGCCTGCAGGAGCCTTGGGCCTTGGCCGTCGCTTCGGGTCTCGCACGCTTCGACGTTTCGGCCCCGCTTGACCCCCCCGTGGCTCTGCCTGGGGAGGAGCTCAGCATCCTTGCATGGTCGATGGCCTCCTCGGGAGACATGCGGCGCGCCTGGCATGCCTTGCTCCGAGAGGTCCAAGCTCGGCTGCAGAGCGGAGAGGACACAGCACAGCATCTCTTCATGTCGGAGATCTCTTATAAGCAAGAAGCGCAGGGTCGCGGGCAGGGTGGAGAGGTGTAAGGAGTGAGAAGAAATGAGGGAGCCGAGAGGAGCGGCGGCTGCCGCTGCGGGCGCTGGCGACCTTGTCCTGGTCTTTTGCCTCGGCGCCGTTGAGCTCGCAAGCCTCGCTTTGCGAGGTTCTCCCTGTGTTGCAAAGGGAGCTTGCCAGCCGGGTGACCGTCCTCAAAGGCAGAGAGGCAATCAGCTCCAGCACCGACATGTTGGAAGTGCTTTGGGCCTCAAGCTTCGTGGGCTGCCTACAGCCACGCTACCTCCCCGCTGTTTGGAATGCCCTCCAGCGTGTGGCACGCGCCCTTGATAGCACAGCCCACTTGCCCCCGCCGGCCTCGACATCACCTGGACGCCTTGACCCACTGGCTCCGGAGCTGCAGTTGCCTCGAGTCGTTCTTCAACTTCCGGACCGATGCTTGGCAGCAAGCTGTCGCAGGTCGTCCTGTGCTTCGCTGTCTTGGAACGGGGAATCTGAGGGCTGGTGGTGCACAAACCACCTGGATGGCAGGCGTGCGATGCGCGCGTTGTGAGTGCCTTGCTTGATGCTGCCGAAGCCATTCACCTTGAAGTCGAGGTCGATGAGTCTGGGGATGCTTCCGGTCTGCCCCTTTCCCAGTATGTACAGAAGCTCTGCAACAAGCCGATTCACTACGACGAGTCCCACCAGAGAGGCTTCCTGCATCGTTTGGATGTGCCAAGCTCCGGGATGATCCTCGTCGCCTCCACTTTCTCCGCTTACTACGATCTTCAGTTTCAACTATCCGCGGGCATGTTGATCCGGGACTATGCTGTTCAGTCACACGGCTGGTGCGGTGACCGTGGGATGATTCGCGCTTCAGTTGCCTGGGCTGATACCGGTTCCCGAAAGGACTCCCCAAGTCGTGTGATTGCCGGCGAGAACTCCGAGACACACCTCAAGGTCTTACTGCACTCGATACACATGGGACGTGCGCTCTCCTTCATGGCTATACGGATTGGAACCGGGCGAAAACATCAGATCCGAGTTCACACCGCTCATGTGGGTCACGCGACTGTCAGCGATGGTGGCTCAGATGCATTCGGCAGCCCGCGTTCGAAACAGCAGCACTGCTTCTCGGCAAGGTCTGTACTCCACAGCCGAGACCTACTCTTGTGATCAGGATTGTTGCCAGCGGATATTTTTGCACCGGTGCGTCCAGGCGATCGGCTGTGGAGGCATATGCATGTGCAGATGTGGCAGGTACCATCTCGCCTTCTGCTCGCAAGCCTTGCACGGAGAAGAGTTCGAGGTGGGCTTCTGAGCAGTGAGCTCGACCTGCGCTAGGAGTGGCGACTTTCCCTTTGCAAGTCTGTTCCGAGGCCCGTGACGCACTACCGCCGGATCTGCAGGACTGTCTTCAGGCGGCACAGGCGTGAGCTCCTTTGGCACGTTGCTTGTATCGCCGACGGAGAATGCACAGCGAAGGTGGTGCGGCCCTGCCCCCAAAGGGTAGCAAGGCAGGGGAAGGGGAAGGGGAAGGGGAAGGGGAAGGGGAAGGGGAAGGGGAAGAGCAAGGGCAGAGACAGGAGGGAAGGGAGGGGAAGTGAGGTCAGCGCCATTCGCCTCCCTGCCACCCTGGCACTTGTGCTCGCAGCTGACCAGGAAAAGAAGAGTGACAGGGTACCAGAAGCAGCTTGTGCTCAGATCTTCCATGCACTGCTTGGTCTCAAGACAGTCGGCTCGAGTCTTTGCATGCCACTTCCAGCTGGGGGGCATGCCCTGTGCTGACGCAATGTGCGGAAGCTCATGTGACGATTGTGCCACGCGTCTGCAGCGGCCGCCTGGCTAGCAACGCGCAGGCCACGTTCCTACAATAAACAAATCAGAACAATGAGGCCCTGACAGCTCTGAAGCTCTCGCGAACCCAGTTCGTGTCCAGCCACCTGGTTTGTCGAGATGTCCGCTGACGTGCGAAACTACAGTTGCGGACTGGACGCGGGAGACCATCCCCGTGCCATAACTGCGGCACTGAAGAATCTGGCTGGGCGTGGAGCAGACCTATCAGACGTGCTGCTTTCTATGCGCACAGCGACCATCGAAGCCAATGTCTACCACTACAACACCGCCATCTCGACGTGCCAGGGGCCTCTGTGGCAGTCTGCATTGCACTTGCTGCTCCGAATGTCGCTGCACCTTGTCCCTGCTGATGCCGTCAGCCAGAATGCCGCAATGGCAGCGGTGGGGCCTCTGTGGCAGCGGAGTGCCAACTTGTTCAGGGACAGCGACAAAGAAGGAGTTGCGTTCAACAGCATGCTGTCTTCCTTGAGCAAGGTGGGCAACTGGGAGCTGGGACAGAGTGCCTTGAAGGAAATGCGCTGCAGTCTCGTGCAAGCAGACCATATCAGTTTCACCGCCTGCCTTGATGCCAGCGGCCGAGCAGACCAGTGGAGAAGGTCATGGTTCCTGCTGAAAGAATTGCAGACTTCGCTCCGTGCGGACGTGGTAGCCTGGAACTGTGCCATCTCCAGTGGACGGGCCTGGCAAAGAGCGTTGGAAGTAGTAGCAGCCATACCATGGCATGCACTGCAACCAGACACAGTCAGCTACGATTCCGCCATCAGCAGATGCACCGGCAAGTGGCAGCACGCCTCAAGCCTGATGGGCTCATCGGGCCTCCGTGCTTCGCTTGTCACCTACCATGCGGCCATGACTGCCTTCGAGGCCCCTGGCTGGTGCTTTGCCCTCAATTTTCTTCAAGGCATCGGAAGTGAACGACTGCTGCCGGAGGTTCTGACGTACAACTCTGCTGCCGCTGCCTGTCAAAAGGCACTCCGATGGCTCCAGGCATCGGGAGTGTTGAGGAGCATGTCCGTCTCAGGACTGCAGGGCGACTCTTATACTTGCAGTGCTGTTCTCGGTGCCTGTCGAGACTCTTGGGCACTGGCCGTTGAACTAGTTTCCGGCATGTGCCGGAGCGATCTCCCTCCCAACGCAATCGTATTCAATGCGTTGGCCAGTGCTTGCGGCCTGGCAGGTCAATGGCAGCTTGCCCTGCGATCCTTGGATGCTGTGGGCGACTGCTTTACCTATGCTGCAGCCATCAGCGCGTGCGAGAAGGCACATGAATGGCAGCGGGCGCTTTGGCTCCTATACCAGATGCCGGGAGTGTGCCTCAAGGCGGATGCCGTCTGCTTCGCGGCCGCCATCAGCGCCTGTGAGAAGGGACAGCGTTGGCAGCATGCAATCCGTGTGTTTTCTGAAATGAAAACTTACCGGCTTGAACCTGCTCTCATGGCCTGCAACGCGCTAATCAGCGCTCTGGAGAAGTGCAGCTGCTGGCAGCTTGCATTATCATTGCTTATCTCGGTCGGAATGGACGCAGACATCGTGACCTTCAATGCCGTGGCTTCATCAGAAGTTATGTAAAGCACATGTATTCTCGTTTCAGTCGCTAGTCGCTCTCAGCACTCTGAGGCCCTGGGCGCCTGTGCCAAGGCTCAGCCTTGGCCGTTTGCCTTAGAAGTCTTCGACGGGATGTCGGGTTCAAAACTACAGCCCGACGCCGTGAGCCGCGCGCTGAGACCGAGAGAGTTTGGTCTCCCGTTACGACTTCTGCCGGCAACGGCCGAGGCTACAACGTGGTGATCGGGGCATGCGAGAGATCCTCCCACTGGGAAACAGCAGCTTGGACGCGCTTTGAGCTTCGCCTGGCGCCTGCGGGTCGGGCCCTTTGGACTCGTCTATCAGGTGCTGGCCCTTCTGCGTGAAGAGTCGAGTACCTTCGGCAAGATGCTGGCAGACCTGTGCCTCCAGTCTGCACCGCTGCCGTTTTTGCTGACACTTGACACAGACTTGAAGTTTACTGAAGTGAAAAGAGAGAAGTCTCTTCTTCTCCAAGGCGCTCCGAGCTCTGGCACTATCACCTCTCTGATGGATTTGGAGTTCAAGAGCAACAGCGACCTCTGTCACCTCATCTGGCGCTTTGCGAAGCTCGCCCAAGCAGCACTCTTTGATGTCGACATCGGTTGTGTCACGAGGGCAGCTGCGACCGTGCTGGCAGCAGCCATGCGTCGAGATCTGGACTTGTCAGAGATCAGCACATTCCTGCGCCTTGGCTCGTAGCAGCATAGCGCCGCTCGCAGCTCTCTTGCCAAGCGCCACAGGTGGTCTTTAGCAGTGCTCGGCGTGGACTCGGACGGCCCAGGGGTCCGGAGGTTGATATTGCAGCTCAGGCAGAGGCGAGGCTCCTTGCACTTTGCACCCATCCCCTCCTTGCAGTACGGAGTTAGGAGCCTGGCGCAGGCTGGCTGCAGGTCAAGAGAAGGTATTGCCCCTGAAGTTGCTTGGCAACGTCATTTGGGCGGTGGCGATGATGAAGGACTTGGAGCTTCTTGTCCTGCAGAAGGAGATGGTTGCACGGTCCAAGATGGACTTTTGGCAGACCCTGGATTTTTCTTCTGCTGCACTAGAAGTCTTGTGGGCATCTGCCTTTGTCCAGCGGCTGCCCATTCAAGTTGAAGCCAGCCTAAGCGAGTCCGTCAGAAGAGTGGCTGGCGAACTGGACCGGCGGCCATCGCCAGCCCTCTGGTCTCCTGCCGCTTCTTCCGGACGTCCCCAGTTAGACAGAGACTCGGAGTCTCCTCGCATTCTGCGACGCTACTCCGACCGAGTCGTCGTGTATAAACCTCCGGGCTGGCAGGCCAGGCAGGCCAGGACCAGAGCCAACCGTAAGTTAGTCCCTCCGTCCCTTTCTCGAGGTGGATGATGCTTTGGCAGACAGGCGTTGGCCACTCTCCTCTTGGCTACGCACAGCCCTTCGTGGGCAACAGAATCTTCTGGAGGACCTTCAGCATCGGCGAGGCTTTATCCACCGCCTCGATGTCCCCACATCTGGGCTTCTCCTGGTGGGAACAAGCTATTCTGCATACTACGACATGCAGCTCCAGCTTATGACTCGCCGGATGACGAGACAGTACCTCGTGCTCTGCCACGGCTGGCTTGGAGCGCGAACACAGATCGAGGCCCGGATCCACTCCCTCGAGGTGGGAAGCTGAAAGGAAAGTCTTTGCAGAGCCACCAAGAAAAAGAATCGAATAAGACGATCCAAGCTCCAAGCTTGTACCGAGGACGGACCCAGCTGGTATCGGTCCAGCCGGATTTCAAGCGTCGGCGGACGGCCGTCCGCGACCCTTCTGGAGCCGGTCGCATACGCAACGATGGATGAGAAGGCTTTCACTCTGACCGACTTTCAGATTGTTACAGGCAGAAGACACCAGATTCGAGTCCACACGGCCCATTGCGGATACCCAACGATGAGCGATGCCAGATACACGGCTGAAGCAACCTTCAAGGCCGGGGTCCTTACCTGCACACGTGCGCAGCTGCGGAGCTGTGTGCGGACACGCCTAAACCTGGGCTGCAAGGACGACTCGTCTCGATGCGGCCGAAACTTTTTGCATCGATACCGCTTGAAGTTTGAGGTGGCAGACATGGCACAGAGGTACCAAGAGGTGGGGCTTGTGTTGGCTTCTCGACAGTGAGAGTACGCATCGATGCCAGGTGGAGGAGCAACTCCCACAAGATCTTGCAAACGTCCTGGACTTGCTTGAGCCCGTTTCTGCGGCTTCTGCTCAAGGGATCCGAAGCTCCCGTCCATAGGAATGCTGCCGTGATGTGCCATCATACCCATGCAAGCAGAAGCATGCAAGGAAGCACTCGGCAGTTTGCTGGGCATGTCTGCAGAATTTGTTGACGCAGAGTCACGCATGTGCACGACCGTAAACCAGTGTTAATTATCCGTCTTTGATGTAGGGGTGGGGATGATTTCGACCCTTCTCTGCCGCTGCTTTGTCCGGTGCTGGGTGAAAACAGAAGGGGCAAGTTGCCTGAAAAGCCGTGCTCATAATGTGATGAGACACTGTGCCCAGAGGTCAAGTATGTTGTGGAGACCATCTCGGCCTCAGAAGCATGTCAGTCGATAGTGCGAAGTACGACATGGCCCCGTGCACTGAGTTAGACAGTCTGGCCCTTGCTCCTAAAGCATTGGCCAACAGCTAACTTGCTAATTCCTAGCCAACGTGGCCTTTGTGGCTGTAGCTCTCAACGGCCCTGCAAGACTTTTCGCACATGTCTTCCTTTCTTGCCAGCTCCATGGCGCTCGGCAATTCATGGGCTGCCAGGCTCCACACGGAAACCGCTAAAGCGGCTAAAGTTATGAAGAATTCATCGACTCATCGATTCATGTGAAACTTTGGCGGTCAGTAGACTAGACATCTCCCCGCAAACTTTGCAGTGGCTAGGATTGAGGAGAGGCAAGCAATGCAGTCCATACCTGCCAAATCTGCAAAAGCAGTCAAGAGATTGAAGAGCGTCCGGAGGTCAACATCATTCGCTGCAATTCGCGCATCTCATCGCTCAGCCGGGGCAGACGCTGGAGAGAGGGCTTGGAGCTCTGGGCTTCATTGCCGGAGCAGGATCTTCGGCCAGACACTTGGAGCCTCAACGCTGCCCTCGCTTGCGCCGGCTGCAGCGCCAGCAGCAGCTCCAGCAGCAGCTCCAGCTGGCCGGCGGTCCTGGCGCTGCTGGCGTTCGCCTCTGCCGATACCATCAGCTTCAATCTCCTCCTCACGAGCCTTGCCAAGGATGCTTTTCCAGCATGGAAAGCATCGATGGCGGTGTTGGCATTGCTGCCCCCGGCGATGCTGCGTCCGCAGGCAGCGAGTCTGGGACCTTGCATCAGCGCCAGTTCACGAGCAACGCGATGGCAGCAGGCAGCCCAAGTCCTTCGTGTCTTTCGCGTGTCCAGCTTGGTGGACCTGGGTGCATGCAACGCAGCCTTGGCCGGATGTGCAGGAGCAGGGCGATGGCAGCAGGCCTTCTGCGAGCTGGAAGCTCTCCTCAGCAGTGCTATGCAGCCTGATGCTGTGACGTTCAATTCTTGCTTTAGTGCCTGCGAGACTGCCCGTGTTGGGCAACGAGCCTTGCAGTTGATGCAGCGCATGTGCATGCTTGGCATCCGACCAACTGCCATCAGCATTAACACAATAGTCAGTGCCTGCGAGAAGGTGAGTGAGTGGAAGACCGCACTCGGACTGCTGGCTGAGCTGCCGGAGATGAGTCTCCTACCGGATATCATTAGCTATAACGCCGCAATCGGCGCGTGCTCCGAGAACTGGCAGCAGGCCGTCGCTCTCTTCCAGAGTCTGCTTTCAACGCGACTGTGTCCCGACCAGGTGACGCTGGGTGCTTTAATAACCGCATGTGCGAATGCGGAGCAGCTTCCCACGATTGAAACACTCCTGGAACATATGCGCCAACTTTGCTTGGAGGAGAACCTGGTTATTTGCAACAGCTGCCTCAAGGCTTGCGACAAGGCAGGGGGACGGGCATGGAAAAAATCGCTCATCTTCCTCGACTCTATGACGTGTCTGGCTATCCAAAAAGATCTGCTCAGCTACGGCTCGGCGATGAGAAGCTGCCAGAAAGCTTCGCAATGGCAAGTGGCGTGCCACCTCTTCCATGAAAGTGCTTCCAGCACCAGCAACCTAGTGCCCGATGCTTTCAGCTATGAAGCAGCGCTTACAGCCTATGCTGCAGCTGGTAGGGCCTTGCAGACCGTAGCCTTGCTCTGGGGCCTCTCCAATGTCCTGCGACTGCAAAACCTCCGCGAAAAATCGCAAAGGATTAAAGAAGCTCCTTGACTTCAAGGTTTCACTACCCCGATCTCGGGCTGAATGGTTGCCTTCGTAAGACACGTCCTCTGTGGCATGCAGCCCTGTGCTCTCGGCGCCGCGGTCTACTTGTACTTTACAAACCTGTCAGCCTGCGATGTAGGATGCAATGCACTGCACGAAGTCTTCTTTGGCACAGACACTCGCCGAGCGTTATCTGCCGCAGGGTCTCTTGCAGCTTCTCGAGCCTTCAGGTTCGGGGTAGCGTGGTGAATGTTGTTTCTGGACATGGACATATACCTGCATCAGGCTATGGTGTTCGTGTTTGCTTAACAAGCCATGTCTTGCGTTGAATCGTCTCAACACGAGTACGGACAATTACACAAGCACTCTGGCAACAGAGGTTCTTTTTCATTCGGATTTCCCAAGTGTAGGCATTGATCTCCTTCTCACGACAGATCAGTTTGCAAGTCACTGCCTCTGCTTGTATCAGGCTCTGTCGTAGAAGCTAGAAGCATCGGCATGGGAGCCGTTTTTGACGAGATTCTCGGCCTTCGCGTTCCCGCGTAAGCTCGGGGGCACGAAGGCTCTGTCACGGCAGCACGGCGTGGTCGGAGCAAAGTCTCTCGACGCAGGCCGAAGTCCTCCTACTTGTAGTGCGACTTGTTTGCTCGCTGACTGTGTTGGAAGGTACTTCCTCTGAGAAATGCAGTCTCTTCTCGGCTGTACACGCCTCGCCTGGCGACGTCCGTACTCACGGGCCTGGCGCGAAGAAAGCAAGCGAAGGCGGCGTGATGCACCATATCTCTTGCACGATCCTCCCATCCTTCCCGAATGGCTCAGGCTGCCGAAGAGATCTTGCGCTGGATGTTCCTTGCCTGCCGTAGTTGCTGTGTATACTTGTTTTATGGAAGACGCGGGGAAGCCGAGGCAAGACGAGGAGCTCGAAGTCAACGTGTTTCACACATCCGCGGTTCTGTCTGCTTGTTCCAGAAGCAAGCAGTGGCAGCTGGCACTGGACTTGCTGCAATGCCAGAGTGTCAACGAAGTCGGACTCTCTGCATCACTTGTTTACGGTCTGCAGAATGCGGATCTGCGCATCAATCTTTCATGTCCCGAGGATTCAATGCCTTTCTTGATTCCTGCGAAAAGGCCGGGCAAATGGACCTAGCCTTCAAAATGTTTTCAAAGATGTCAGCACGGTCTCTGCAGCCAGATGTCATAAGCTGCAACACGGCCATGCGTGCAGCGAGCTCCTCCCGACACTGGCAGCTGGGACTCGCCTTCCTCGATGGTGCTGAGGTCGACGTGATCAGTTACACTTCATGCATGAACTGTTGCCAGGGGCACTTGTGGCAGGTTTCACTGGCTTTTTGGGATCTGATCCAAATCGTAAACTTCGAGCCCAGCTCCAGGGCCTTCAACTCGGCCATCCATGCGCTTCGCGCAGAGTGGACAGTGGCTCACCAGATTTTCCAAGAAATGCTGTCATCAGGGACGTCGGCGGATCCGTTCACCTTGAGCTCTCTAGTCCACACATCTTGGGAACTGTCTTTCAACGTCAGAAGCATGGGACTTGCAGGGATCGACGGGGCTGCATGCAACGCACTTCTGGACAGCGGCCCTTGGACTGTGGGCTTGGAGATTCTGGAGGAGATGCAGCTAGAGAGGATCTATGTGGGGCGTGTCGGCTACACGGCCTTGGGACGAGCAATTGGATCTCTTCACTGGAGCCAGGGCGGGGCCCTCTTGTCGCAGATGCGCCGAATGGAGGCGCGACCGCTTCCTCTGAAAGTTGTGACTGGCTTCGGTAAAGTTCTTAGGTGCAGTCGGACAGCTTCTCCAGAAACTTGGCGATTGGCCTTTCCGAAGAGGGTGACTGGCAATCGGCCTGCTCGGCATTGCGGGATGTGGGAACTTCCCTGGTCCGCGGCTGATGTGCTGGATTGTCGAATCATGCTTGTTCTTCCACTGCCGTGCAGCAGACGATAGCCGCAGCTCCAAGGTGCCAGATGAAATTGGCCGCTCGACCCAAACGGTCATCAGTTGCTTGCTGTTGTCGCCGAAGCGGTTCTCCAGCTTCAACGACTGCACACGAAGGTGTCAGCACGGCTCTCAGCACGTGCGAGCAGTCGTCGCAGTGGCGCTGGGCAGCACGGCTCTTCTCACACATCGAAGCTGTGCCGAAGGCAGGTCCAACCATCTTGTCATGACCTGATCGTCCTTTATGCTACCTCTTGCCAGATTGGGTCCAGAGTGGTTGCCATCAATGCGGCCCTCGGTGCTTTTGCAAAGAGCCTTCAATGGGCCTGGGCAATGTGCTTTCTACACCAGATGCCTGAAGGCCTAACCAAGAGCTGGTGCACGATGGTCGGCACAACATGCTGGTGGTGCAGGCACTACCCGGCCCGATGTGGTGTCACTCTCGACCTCCATCAACGCCTGTGTTGCTCGGCAAACCCAAGAGCTAGAACTGCCTTTAGCATCGTGTCAACTGCATCGTTTTTGCATGTTTTTGCGTATCGTGCTGTCGCGCCCTTGGGGCTCGAGGAGAAGATTGGCTACTGGGGAGTAGCCCTCTTCATATTGACGGCTTTCAGAAGCGCACAGCTCAAGGACACCGTTGGTTGAAACTTTAGTATGTCGCACTGTGCGTCGCACTGCTACCTCAAGGACCCCGGTGCTGTCTTCGGCTTCTTGGAGCTGACAACCACGCAATGCACGGGCAGAATTGCGTGGATTGAATGACACACCAAGGCTTCAGCGCTGCGATCAGTGCTTGCGAGAAGGGTCGGCAGTGGCCCAAGTTGATTTGTGGTTGCACTCTCAGCCCTCATACTCACCGTACGCATCCTGACCCTCGTTCCTACCTTGACTCTGATCCTTACTCTCATTCATTCCCATCCTCACTCGCACATCTTTTCGCCCCCCATCCTCACTCTCAGGCAGTGGCGGCCTGCTTTGTCCACACTGAGCCGTTCGTTGCACAATCGGGCGCTCAGACTGCAAGTTAGCCACAGGGTATCACAGGGTCTTGGCCTTTGAGAATTCAGGGATGGCTGCATGTTGCATTGCCCAGGTGCAGCCCAGCGAGATATCCTTCTCTGCCGCCATCAGCGCGTGTGAGAAAGGCCACGCGTGGAGGCGAGGAGGGGAGCCGAAGGGAGCCGGGGCCCAAGAGTTGAGCGGAGGATCTCCCTGCTGCTGCTCGATGCCCTCGCACCAGCGAAGCTCCAGACGGGTGGCGTCAGTTTCGATGCGGCCATCAGCGCCTGCCAGAAAGGCCACCGCAGGGGGGCGCCACCAGGGAGCTCCACGTTTTGGCTGTGCCCTGCAGGCGAAGCTGCATCGCATGGAAGTGGGCACAGTTTGGGTGCTGCTCTCACAGCCTGTGAGAGAAGTGGGAACTGGGATGTGGCTTTGGATGCCTGGCAGAGGCCAGTTTTCCACACTGCATCAGCACCTTCACAGAATGAAGCAACTAGCAGTCATTTTCTTGCATTCAAGCTGTGCCCTATTGCAGGATGCAGAGCCAATGCTTGTCATCGGATGAGACAAGCATCAGTGCAATTGTCAATTCGTGTCGCAATGGTGGTCGCTGGCAGCTGGCGTTGCAGATCACCAGCTCAGGTTGCCTCCTGAGGACTGTGCGTCTGACCGTGAACGTTGAACAAGATCCTGCTGACTTTCCTGTTACCTTTGCAGGTAGTTTGCCCTCGCACTTGCGCTCAGCGGGTGTGGGCGCCTGCGAAGCATCGGATGTGCCGGCAGAGAGCCTTGGTGTGAGCATCATGCTGAAAATGATATGGTTTGCGCCCACTCCGGATTCCCTCACACACAATGCAAGTCTATAATCAAAGCTTCCTCCATAGCCTGTCTGTCTGTCTGTCTGTCTGTCTGTCTGTCTGTCTGTCTGTCTGTCTGTCTGTCTGTCTGTCTGTCTGTCTGTCTGTCTGTCTGTCTGTCTGTCTGTCTGTCTGTCTCTCTCTCTCTCTCTCTCCCTGCACCCTTCATCTGGTACCTCTTGAGCTTTCATCGCCTGTTCGGCATCCGCACCCCGCCCCTTTCACCCGTGGGTGCAAGTTTGGGCGCCTTTCCGAGATTGCCTGTCTGCGAGATGCTGCAGCTTTTCTCAAACAGCTGCAGCCATGCGAAGTCGCCAGCAACCGTCGAGCCACTTGACGAAGACACATAAGGGTCCATCACCGGAACAAGAACTAGGAGTTGGCATGATCATGCCAGTAAGGTGCAGATCTTACACCACTTCTCAGGGTGAAGGAGACACTTGGATGGGCACCTGGCATCGAGGAGGCAGTGCAAGAATGGAGGAGGATTCGTGTTGTCGACTTCCGCGGTGCTGTCCAGCCGGCTTAGCAGCTCAGCCTGAGACTCCTTGAGATCGTGGTGCCCAACAGGAGTCCGAAGCTGGGAACGGGATTCCTTGGCGACGTTGCAAAGAAGCAGCCGGAGGCGGGTTTCGTGTTCTCGCAAAGCTGGGGCAAGGGAGTGAACGTGAGGCCGCCGTCGCAGTCTTGGAGTATCTGTCTGGACGGCAAGTGGAGGTAAACACGTTTCATTACAACTCTGTCATCTCGGCGTGCGGGGGGGACTGGGAGTTGGCGGTGCAGCTGCTGGAGCAAATGAAGCACCGGACTGTGTCGCCAAGTGAAGTCAGCTATGGTGCTGCAATCAAGGCCTGCAGCAAAGGCAGACAGTGGCAGCATGCGCTCGGATTGTTGTTTGCAATGGGGCTCGAACCCAACGTGGTCGTGTACACTGCTGCTATTAGCTCATTAGAGGCGAGAGCACAGTGGGAAATTGCCATTGCACTGCTTGGGCTCATGTCCATGCAGTCTCTCCGTGTGGACGTGACCTGCCTCAGTGCAGCCATGCGGACTGCCAAGAAGAACTGGGAGATTTCTTTGCAGCTTTTCGAGAGCATCATTCGGAAGGAACTGGTGCCGGACCTTATCAGTTTCAACACTCTGATCAGCTCGTGCGAAGAGCAGGGTCTTTGGATGGAATCATTGAAGATCCTGAATTCGGCGTCTAGGTTCACTTTGCATCCGAGCGCGGTGAGCTACAATGCTGCAGTGGCCGTTCAACGATCTGTGGCGGCCTCAGAATCCGAAGAAAGGCGAAGGTCAAAGACGGTCAATAGGGCCACAGCTAGCTTTACTACTGTCTTACTTTGCAACCCACACCGGTCTTCCGCAACGGCTTAGTGCCCAGAGAATATCTCTATTGGACATGGCCACTGCTGGCTGCTGGCCCCTGGCTGCAGTCGTCGTGAAACGGCAGAGTGAGGCATGAGAGGACTTCTAGAGAGATGCTGAACATATGAATTTAACTTAACGCTACGCTGCCCGCCTCGGTTTGCCTTGCTTCTGTAATGTGAAGGGGCAGTGCGGAGGCAGAAGTGGGACAGCCCTATATATGGGTGGTTGACAAAATGAGAATGTGGGTTGTCAAATCACAGATGAAAAGGTCACATGATAAAGTGCGAACGGACTGCGATGCCTTGTCAAGTTCTAAGGTGTCACTATAAGAGCTGTGAGCAAGACCGTGTAAAGTGCAAGAGAAGGGGGCACGCTACGCGTCCCTCGACTCTAGGGGGCATGCTACGCATCCCTCATCTTTACCTTTCTATGTGACCGCCAACGCAACGTTTGGCTCAAGTCAATGCCCATAGCTAAGTGCTATATGTGTCTTCTATCCTGAGCAATCAGAGCTATCCCGTTGCACAGACGAACCGCCGCCGGCAGTGAGTGCAAAAGGAACGGCCGCCGGTTCTGCCTGCATAGGATTGCACGTGTGGAAGTAAGAGGGAGAGACAGGGTCCAGTCTGTGGAGAGTGCTAGCCAGCCACACCTACATTCATTACAGCTCTGGTGGGGAGAGCAGCAACCAAGTCGAGATCAATCCCCCACGCAGGTTATCAGCCGTACGCGGCTCTGCCTTTCTACAGCAACGACTACTTGATCTACTACGACCACAATGAACTCAGGATCAAGCCAAGATACGACAATGACTTTCGGTGCCGATGTGGCAGCGCCAGCCGTTGGTGAGTCAACAGCTGATGACACAGTGGTGCAATCCGTTGATAGCTCCACGGAAGATGACAAAGGTCAATCTTCTGCGCTTGCCATTGCAAAGGCAGTTCCCAAGGGGAAAGCAAAGAGTCTACCAAGAGCATCTACGCCTTCGCGTCCGACATCCACAGGTTCGAGGACGGGCAAGGCTTCAGAACGACGGGCCGAAGCGTCTGGTTTTCAGGCACCTCGGACTACGTCCAGGGCCAAGGACAAAGGAGTCAAGACCTTGGAAAAGAAGTCAAGACCATCATCTTCGAGAAGCTCTTCAGCACGATCGAGGACTTCGGCTACTCGTGGGCGTGACAAGTCCATGACGTGGAATCGGATGGTTACCAATCAACCACGCGATGCTGACGATCTGGATATGACTCTGGATACGATTCCTGCACGTGGTGATGCGTCGTCCGTGGCCACGCCTGCCATAGCTGATGGTCCGAATGCCTATCAGGAACTGACGATTTCGCAACAGTTCGAAGCATCGAACCTTGCACAGCAGATGTACTATCGCAGTCAGGTGCAAGAATACGAAGGGATCGTCCAGACCCTGATGGACAAGATCAAGGAGATGCAACAAGAAGATGAAGGATCTGGAATTCGCATTGAAGAATTGGAACGACAACGTGACCATGCATGCTTAGCCATGAGGCACATCAACAATGTCAATCAGGAGATGAAGCGAGACTATGAAACAGCTTTGTTTCGCATGGATGAACAGAACTCTGCTCAACAACGTCAAGCACATGCCGTTGCCGAGGAGTTAGCTCAACAGCTACACGTGTTCCGCACGGAGGCAGCCACTAACTTTGTGCAGTTGGAGGCAAGAGCGCAAGGCGATGGTGAGCTTATGGCACGTGAGTATGAGCGTCTGACTCATGAACTTCATGAACATGCCAGAGAGAACTTGGTCCTCCGGTCAAACACAGCAAGTTCGGAACAAGCCTTACAAGCAATGCAGGAACGATTCCACTTGGTCAAGAACCAGGAGTTGCGGGCTGTGAACGAGATCCAAGGGCTAGCTGGAAACAGCGCAGCCATTGATCAAGAACGATTTCGGCTTCGCGAACGTCTTGGTGAAGAGGAAGAGTACCGCAAAATGGCTGTGAAGAGGATGCAAGATGCAGAGGATCGACTTCATCAGAATGAAGATCATGCAAGGCGATCATTGCCTACCTTGCACGACGAGCTGAGTGAACTCAGGAAAACGCTCAAAGCACAAGAAGATCTTCAAGCGAGGACACGCAGCGAATTGGAGGCAGCGCGAAACTCCAATCACGGAGGAGCGACACGGCCTTCTAGCATGCCCATGTCTTCGAGGACTACTGAGTCTGGCTGGGAGCACGTAGGAAAGGAAGTAGTGCCTGAATTTTCCGTAGGAGGTGAGGTACGATCCCCTGAAATACGGTCCCCAAGTCAGGTTAGTCCAGTCGCCAAAGAGAAGTTCGCATTCTCGGAATCGGACAAGGACAAGAACCTTGTGATGGATGGAATTCCACTCACCGGTGGGAACTTCTTCACTGGCCGCAGTTCGATGCCAATCGTGGCGGATGCAATGCCCGAGCACTACGTGCCAGGTATTAGCAGCCCAGCACTTGCGCGTTCCACGCCTAGTGCAGCCACCTTATTCGGCATACCAAGCGGATTTCATGGGAAAAGTGATGCGGCAGCCGTGCGTGATCGACAGCTACGCGAACTCTTGGAGGATCGCGGGATGTTGGGATCGAAGTCCACAGCATCTGCCAGCTCCTCAAGACCTGTTGGTATCGACGGTGTTACCGCATCTACGAAGGGCAACGACCTCATCGGTCCCCCTATTGCCTATGACGATTCCATTCATGAAGCAAGGAGACGTCAGATCGAGAAAGAGGTCGCGGAACGGTACGAGGAGAAGATTGCCGATCTGCGAAGCGAAGTACTCAAGGCCCAGAAAGCCGAACAACGTCTCAGAGCTGATCGTGATGAGTGGAAGTTATTCGCTGAAACGATTCAGGAGGATAATGGAGACGATGACGGTGACGAGACGACGAAGATGGAGAGCACGATGAAGGAACCGGCACGGGGTATGACCCTCCTGACCCGCCTGACGATGATGATGATAAGAAGAAAAGCGGTGGAGGCAAACCTGAATCGGATCCTGGATCGCATGCGCGTGATCCTGATGGTGACGCGGATCCGGAAGTCACAGAGGTGAGAATTTCCAGGAGGGAAGCCGACAAAGTGACCGTCCCTCCATGGCCTACTCTCACTCATCTCAACAACTGGCGATCCGTGTGCACGGCCAATGTCCTAGGGGCATCAGCCGACCCACATCATGAGGACTGGATGTTATGGCTGGCACCAGCGTTCAACCCATTCCCTGATGTCGAAGCATTGAATGATTCAGGACACAAGAAGTTCAAGAGCATAGACGTCAAATTGGGGATCGCCATGGTCGCAATGCTACGTGCCGGTGGTGACAAATCAGCTGATCTGTACCTTGAGGTGAACCGGAAGGCTAACGATTACATCAGCAGGCCCGACGGGAAGATCATCAAAGGACGACAAATCATCGCGATGATGTATGAAAGTTTTCGAACGCACGATCGTCTCGACATGATCATCACTCTTGAGTATTTGGTGAAGCTCCAGTACCAAGGCGACAACAAGCTTCATACGTTCAAGCAGACGTGGTTGGAAGTTCTGGGACGGATGAGACCAGAGGACATTCCATCCAAAACAGCTCTCCGTGATTGCTTGTACAGCAAGATCAAGGACTCGCCCGCAATGAAGATGGAGTTGGGCATGCACTACGAACACTTGCCCTACAATCATGAAGACCGATCGTACGACAACCTGATGAAGATCATTGACCGTACTATCATGCGGAGACGAGAACAGTCAAATCTCACTCAGACCCAAATTGGCTTGCGCCAGATGCTTGAGGGCAAGGATTTGCTTGCTGCACCGGCCAAGGTACCCGAGAAACCAACGCCTAACGCAGCTCCATCCGCAAAGGTCAAGGCTTCGCCGACCAAGCCGGATAAAGCAACACCTGTACTACCTCAAAGCAAAGCGAAGAGTCATGCGAAGACCAAGCCAAAGCCCAAGAAGAAGACGAGGAGTGAGTCAGCGGACAACAGAGGTGACAAAAGCAAGAAGCAAATCCGCTGCAAGTTCCATTTCACAGATGCAGGGTGTCGAAATGGCGATAAGTGTCCATTCAGTCACTCGAAGAAGACTCCAGAGCGACCCTTCACGCCGAGGACGAGAACTCCAAGTCCATCTGGAGGAGGAGGAAACAGGATATGCTACTCGTTCAAGAACACAGGCTCGTGCTCAAGAGAGAATTGTCCTTTCAAGCATGAAGCAGCAGCTACCCCAGCTCCGGAACCAAAGGCAAAAGCTAAAGCTAAATCCGAAGCGAAGGCAGCTCCAGCGAAGCCGAATGCCAAGGCCAAGGCACTCCCTGCGGCACCCGCCATCAGATTGTGTCGAAGGTGGAATCCATCAGCTCCGGCTATATGGAAGCGATCTTCAAGACAAGATGAGGAGGAGTCAGATTGTCCATCCGTTGACAGCGACGCTGATTCGGATTGTTCAACAGATGACGAATCCTCGGGAACGACTACGTCGACCCGAAAAGAGATAAAGCGTAATGTGACGTTCGCCGATGACGTGAAGTTCATTTCTTCGTGTCCTAGAAGATCGAAGAAAGACAAAGAGCGGAAGGTGAAGTACGTCGACATGGAAGCGTTTATCAATGATGAGGACCGCGCCGTGAGCTTGGAATTCGCCAAGCACAAAGCGAGATTGAGGGCACAGATCATGAGAGACATGGTTGACGACGATGATGATCAATGCGGAGATCGAGTTTCATTCGTACGAATCCCAGGAACGTCTCGAGTGGAAGAAGTTTCGTTCTACGACGGTGAGGATTCCATCGTTGAGCGCGAACTCGATGCTGCACACAGCAAACGGATCATCAATCAAGGCTTATTCAAATGCATGGTTCAACCAGTCATCCTCAAGAAGAAGATCAAGTTTCTCATGGACACTGGGTGTGGTCATGACCTCATATCTCAGAAGAAGA